TTTCTAATTAAATAATGTCTTAGTTTGATTAGAATATTATTTCAGGATTCAGAGCAGGTTTTCGTTACCTGTGTTCTGTTTTACAAAAAGAAATTGATGATTTAAATTCTCCTATGAGTTCTGCGTATATTCCCTAAAGATTTTCTAAAAAGAAACATTTCTAAAAATAATTTCATTAATTTTTGAATAAGTCGTGAAACTTTCATTAAAATCTGACAATTATTTGATTTTTGCAAGTTTCCAAATCAATGTGTTTTCACCGAAAACAAAAAAAAAAAAAAAAAAAAAAAAAAAAAAACGCGAAAATTTCCGATACTAATCTTTTGTTACCCGCTGATGCAACAAAAGCACAAATTTTTACCCAAATTTCGGACGTTATAAAAAGGATAAAATTATTATTTAATGATCAAAAAATCCTTTGAATTTTCGTCTTAATGATAACATAAAGAATTGGATGGTAAAACTTTGTTTTTATTAAGTATTTTTTCATCATGGTGCGTTCGTTTTTTAGCAAATCAGTTTAGGTATTAAGATGACAGCTAAAAAATACTTTTGTAACATTACCTGAAGATGTATGAAGATGACGCATTATCAAAATAAAAAAAAATATATATATTATACACGTATTTACTTAATACTGTGACCGGGGCGACAATGCCATACAAAGAAAAGAAAAAAACGGAGTTGAATTATACTTGCTAATTATAGTAATGAATTATTAGAATAACTTAAGTCATGTGTTAAGGTGCCTATAGAACGTTGAATGGCGACAAAGAGCGGATTAAAGATCAGTGTTTACCTAAAAAGAAAGGAAATAGCGAGAGCCAGGATAAAAATCAAAGATAAGGAAAGAACAAGAAAAAAAATTAATGGAGAAGAGATGCGAGTAAATCTGTATGTATTCAAGCATTTGTTTATTGCTTTATAAAGCCGTGTATATATGTAAATACAAGGAGAATAAGAAAAATACACAGACTACATTTCTTGGCTTACAGACCTCCCATATATATATATATATATATATATATATATATATAATTAATATAAATTATTAGTAGAATTTGAAATAATTATAATTAAGTAATTCACTGAGTTTAGATGAATCATCAACAGAATGCAGCTTCATCCTATATTTGGGACTCATCAGCAGTGCGCATCCACTACCGAGAAATGAAACCCAGACCATTACTATACGACGCAAGCGTTATATCAACCGTACCAATGAGGCTCGGTAGCGAAGAGGTCACTAATTAGACTCTATATAGCGCCGTGCTTCACAAATTTTATATATATATATATATATATATATATATATATATATATCTTGCGATGGATAAATTGTTGTCTAACTGACGCAAATATGAAAATAACACTGACACTTCATTTTAACAGCTATTTTTACCAAAATTACACAAAAATATCTTGAAATATTAAAGAGTAGATTTATTTAATAAAATGGCCATTGACATCAATCACGTTCTCCAGACGACTTCGGAATCTCCTGCAACTCTTCCGGAAGGCCCCCTTTTTTAAATTGATGAATCCTGCCATAATCCTTGCCTTTAGTTCATCTTTCGTGTTGCAAAGAGTTTTATTGGTCTCTCACTCAACTGTGCCCCGCACAAAATAATCAAGAGTGTTGCAATATGGGGAGTTAGGTGGCCAGATGTAAGGGGTGATGTGGTTGCAAAAATTGACTGACAGCCATGACTGGGTTCTCCTGCTTGTGTGGCGTGGTGCAGTCTTCCAGGAGCCACCCTCTTGAACGAGGTCACCATTATCTCCTCAAGAAACTTGACATAGGCCTCTATGCTGAGTCTGGGGTCCTCACCAACACATTCGGGAGTTGTTTTTTTTTCCTTTTAGAACGATCAGAAGGAGATTTCCGGACTGCCGTACCTTTGTAATCACCATTAGACTCATCCAACTCTTTCCGATTCCTCTGAACTGTCCTAAGATTGACATCCAAACACTCTGAAATATTCGGATTAGCGCTTTAGGTGAGAATGACAAGTAGTACTGCATGCCGTTCCCAAAATTCTCGCGGAGTGAATTGCATCATAGTGCTCTTTTTTCTCACAAATGGTACCCAACTGATCCGACTATACTGTGCAGTCGAGAAAAATCAAAAACAAACAACATGCGACAATATACGCATCGCACTGCATATATATATATATATATATATATATATATATATATATATATATATATATATATATATATATATATATAATAAAAAAGGCTTAAACACTAATATTCCATGGTCATAATATATTCCATTAGAATCGTAAATACGATCCAATTCATCAGACCTACAAATATAAAATATAAAAAAATATAAAACATATAAAAATATAAAAATATATTCACATATCCACACATACACATATTCATCTATATCCATATACACACACTTTTCACATACATATACATACATACACAAGCACACATGCATATATCAAAATATATATATACATATATATACATATATACACAC